TACATCGATACTGGTGCCACTCGTCATGTGTGTTCCGACAAGGAGGTGTTCTCTGAATACACTCCTGCTACGGGTCGGAAACTTCACATGGGAAACTCCTCCACGTCTGATATGGCTGGAGTGGGCACGGTGGTGTTGAAGCTTACTTCTGGAAAGGAGTTGAAGCTGAAAGATGTTCTGCATGTCCCAGACATCCGCAAGAATTTGGTCTCTGGATCTCTTCTTGTTGAACATGGATTTAGGCTGGTATTTGATGATAAGAAGTTTATTCTTAGCAAGTTTGGAAAATTCCTTAGTCGTGGTTATCTCGATAAGGGTTTGTTCAAAATGAATGTAATGGCCGTGAGCCGTGTAACCATTAATAATAAAAAGCCTATTTCTGTTTATACCGTTGAGTGTTCTGATATGTGGCATATTAGATTGGGACATGTAAATCTAAATGCAATTAAACGGTTAATGAAATTAGAATTAATTCCTAATTCTAAAGTTGAAACAAATACAAAATGTGAAATTTGTATTGAATCAAAAATGGCTAAGTTGCCTTTTCATTCGGTGGAAAGGAGTACTGAACCATTGAGCCTGATCCATACTGATGTATGTGATATGAAAAGTGTGCAAACAAGAACTGGTAAAAAGTATTTTATAACTTTTATCGATGATTGCACAAGATTTTGCTACTTATATTTGTTAAGAAGCAAAGATGAGGCTGTGGAAGCGTTTAAGATATATAAGACCGAAGTTGAAAATCAACTCGGCAAAAGGATTAAAATAATCCGAAGTGATAGGGGTGGAGAGTATGTAGCTCATTTTGAACAAATATGTTCTGAATATGGCATAATTCATCAAACGACGGCCCCTTATTCTCCACAGTCGAACGGTGTTGCTGAACGCAAGTACCGTACGTTAAAAGAAATGATGAATGCCATGTTGATTAATTCAGGATTACCACAGAACATGTGGGGGGAAGCTGTTTTGACAGCAAATCATATCCTGAATAAAATACCACCTAAAGGGAAAGATGAGACTCCTTACGAAACGTGGAAAAATCGTAAGCCGTCTTATAAATACCTGAAAGTGTGGGGGTGTTTGGCTAAGGTTTCAGTACCTGAACCAAAACAAATGAGAATCAGGCCAAAGACGGTCGATTGTGTATTTATTGGATATGCGTACAATAGTACAACATATATATTTTTGGTTCATAAATCAGAAAATCCAGAGGTATCTG